GAGATGTAAAGCGGTCCTTCAACTCCACTCGTCCTGGATTTACCTGTGCCGGTTCTTCGTGATTCGTGTTCAAATGGGAATTGTTACACGCGTTTTATACGCGCGGATCTATCCCCAGAGTCATCGTCCTTTCCACCACAAACTGTTCGATAAAAACTGGAAGACGAGAGGGAAAAGTTGGGATGAAAGAGAGAGAGAAGAAGGCATGGAACGGAAGTCGCGAGCGTAAAGTACATGTCAAATCGGCGAGGAATCGATCGAGGCAAAGTTATTTCCCTCGCGTTGCGTTTTTCTCCTTTTTCCTTTTTCCTTTCTTTCTTTCTTTCTTTCTTTCTTTTTTTTTTTTTGCGAGTTGGCCATTTTTCGGTAAAAAACCTGCATCCGCCGTGAGCGAGGCCGTGAGATGTAAAATTATTTGCTCGGTCGGAATCATTCCGAGAAACGATCTTGAATTAAACATCGCTATCCACGTGCCTTCCAACGGATTTCTATTGAATCGTAGATCATCCAGGCGCGAATTAGAAAATCAAAAAGGGGATAGAATGTTCGTACGTGCCTTTCGTGGCAACGGCGCCCTCTAATTTCTTCCCGGAAACTGGGCAAACAGGCGTGTCTCCCGTTTCCGCGAACAGAAGCTCGTCGGATCCGTCGATGATCTCATCGTGATTTCCACCCAATTTTTCAATTTTCTGTTTTCCACTTCTGACGCAATTCCACAAATTTCGTAAAGCATTGCGCTTAGAAAAGCAAAAAAATTACGATCCCTATCTTAAGATTTCCTCTTCTCGCGAATCCTAATCGATCCTTGGTCGAGGAAAAAAAAAAAAAGGAAATGAATCATCTATTCGAGTTGGACGAGAGAGATTTTTACAACGTGCGTCCTCGGTGCGTGTCCCCTTCGCGATAATGGAGGAATCGTGGAGGCGAATCGAACCCACCGCGGAGACGATACGATTGTCTCACGTTTCGACAGTTGGCGCACGTGAGCAGACAAGACGTGTCCGTTTTCAGTATGCCACTGCGCAGCACGTGTAACGTCTCTACGCCCGGTTCATCTTGATTCCGTACGTGCGGCTTCGTTCACGAAAACAGGAGCCACGAACGACGTTCTCCGCGAATCTGCTGAGAACCGAGCCATCGTCCGAGCCTCGCTCATTTCCCGACAAATAATGGAACGACGATTCGGCATACGCGATTAAGATCGCGATTTCATTTGCCCTGCCGATTCACATTGAATTAGATAAATATCGTCGCTTTTCCCTCTCCTTCTGTGCCACTTCTTTTCCTTCCTTTTCTCTCCCCCTCTCCTTTTCTTCTTTCTTCTTTCCTTCTCTCTCTCTCTCTCTCTCTCTCT